CGCCAGCTCCCTGTGTCCAGTTCTGGGCTCCCCCGTACAAGAGGGACATGGCACGACTGGAGAGAGTCCAGCGGAGGGCTACGAAGATGATGATTGACTGGAGCATCTCTCCTCCGAAGAAAAGCTGAGGGAGCTGGGCCTGTTGGGCCTGGAGAAGAGAAGACTGAGAGGTGACCTGATCAACGTGTACAAGTATCTGAAGGGGGGTTGTCGAAGGATGGGGCCAGACTCTTCTCCGTGGTGCCCAGCGACAGGACAAGGGGCAACGGGCAGAAACCGAACCACAGGAAGGTCCAGCTGAACCTGAGAAAAAACTTCTTTCCTGTGAAAAGCTGAGCACTGGACCAGGTTGTCCAGAGAGGCTGTGGAGTCTCCCTCCTTGGAGATGTTCAAAACCCACCTGGACGCGATCCTGGGCAATGTGCTCTAGGTGGACCCTGCTGGAGCAGGGCGGTTGGACTAGATGATCTCCAGAGGTCCCTGCCAACCTCGGCCGTTCTCTGATCCTGTGATCTCGTGGGAGCAACCTCTCAGGACGAGCTCGCAGGTGATCTCTGTGCCGGCGATACGTGGCCTGGGAGAACAGCCGCTGCCGAAAACGTTCGCCGGGATGTTCAGGTCGGCGGCTGGAGACTTGTTTTGTTAAACCGGTAGAAAAGCGCCTTACCATTTCCTACTGCGGGTTGCTATTCTGGGTCAAAAAGCAACTGGAATGTCAGGAATGATTAGGAGAGGAACAGAAAACAAAGCCGAGCCCGGGGAATAAATCCATCTCACGTATCACGCCTATCCCGCGGCCCTGCCATCGCGGATATAGCGGAGCTAGAAGGGGCACGAAGGAAACAGTCGGAGGCACAAAACAGCTTCCGGACAGCGAACGCTGGGCAAAAAACAGGTAATCAAGGGAGAGACTACAGCACCGGTCTAAAAATCGCCAAGGGCATAAAAGACGCTGGCTAAGGAGGGGCTCAGCGTCGGGGGGCACGGGCAAACGGACGAAAGCAAACGGCGAAAAGCAACAGCGGAAGAACGCCCCGTCGAACGCCGCCGCACAC